CTGGCAAAGCCGTATCCAGTCCATGAAGGTTGTGTCATACACATGTATCTTAAAGTTGTAATTACAATTTTACCACGGCGTGACCTCAAACACACGACGTAATTTAGAATGACACGTTTTCTTTTGATTGATGAAAGCCGGGCGCGCTTGGCCGGGCGTGATACGGGAAATTATTCCCCTGATGTGAGGGCGCACTTCCCAAAGAGTTACGAGGCCGGGCAATACGAGGTACTGTAAGAGGATTAATTATTCACTGGGTTTTAATTTTGCTTATTTCGCTGACTGTAAAATGCGCTAAATTAAAACCCGGTAAATATGTAAAATTTAGCACAGAACGCTTTATCTAAGTCTTAAAACCGTGAATTTAAAACCCACTGAATATGCCTGAAATGGTAAGTCAGTGAAATTTAAACCCAGTGAAAATTAGTAATTTTACAGTATGTGATAAATGATAACACTGGTTACCAACTTAACAACAACCAAAAAAGCTCGCATCATTCAGTCTCAAATAAAGTTATATTCCATTCCCTGCACGCTTGGCCGTCATTTGCTGTCGTGGAATACTCCACCAAATACTTTTTTTTTTTATCTATCATCAAAAAGTCAAAAAAATGAGCTAACCACGAAACGAATATAGTTTAAATACACTTGGCCACCATTTGGTCAGCTCAAGTTGACAAATAATTAAATGCCGGATTTTCGCATATTTTATTTCATACTCGAACACATTTTAAAGTGTAAACCTAGGCTAATAACATAACTCTCGCAGACGAAAAATCTCCACAAATGTAATTTATAGTTTTTTAATATTACTTTCAATTCTCCTGAGATTCAACTCTTCGTCAGTATAATTAGTCCACCATCTTGATTCTTGAAATATGTGTGAAGTATAACATCGTAGCGTATGTTGTGAAAAATTACGGAAATGATTTCATCTATAACTTCTAAAGTCGGACTTCCAATTGGTTGAAAGTGTCATGGTAGCATACCGGTGCCACCCATACATATATTGTTGCCATGGCAACTGAATGCTTACTCGTGATTCTTCGTATAATTTATACAAATTAGCAATGTGAGTGGCACATACAGATTATATATGACCCGTTGACCACAAAAAAAACAATTTTTTTTCAGTGGATAAAATACTATCTTTACTTTTGGTGTCTTTGCAACATTCTATGTTCCATTATTATATACCTGAGTAAAACCGATTCTGGGTGAAATCATTTTTTTTTTATTTTATTTTTTTGTGTGCAACAGATGTTATTTTACTCATAGTCCTTTGCTGGAGAATTTAAAAAGTGGACAACAATGTCAATAGACCGTGACCACTTTCCCGTGGCGAGACTGAGGTGCAAAAAGTCCTAGAAGGGAATTCTATTTTTGTTACGTCAATAGAAGCCCAATAGCACACGTATAAGTTTACGTTACACCCAAAAACGGCATGTGTGCGCAGTGTAAATGCCGTATTTTCCACTTCCGGAAAAGTGGTCTATACCACTTAAGAATCTGTTTTGTAATCTGGACAGCATTGCCTGCTAGCAATTGATGTCACCCGTTCCCCTTCCTAAATTTTGGATTTTCTGTTATAACTTTTCCTTGTCACCTCTTTTTTATCTGTTTTGTGCACTGCATCCATTACCGTCCATTCCATTCCAACAGTTGAATACTTATAGAAATACAAGTGATGCATTTTGTCATATCTTTTAGTACTAGTATTTATTCTAAACTCTCATTTCTTTATACATGTACTTACTATTTACATTCGAGTGAATCCATCGGTGAGGGCGCAATAACTATCGCCAACCTTGTACATGTACATATAAATCACGCATTATGTATTGACCAGTAATTTACAAAATTAATGATTCCATAATTACTTTATATCGATACTAACGTTTAATAACAACAATTCTTGAATTTGTTTGAAATATAAAACATTTGTGCAGTCAATTCTGTATTTGTCGAGGACAGAATTACCAAACATATAGACAACCAAGAAGTGGGTTGCAGGTTCGTTCAGGTTATTTATTTCCACAACGTGTTAAGTATGAGGTAGGATAGACACAGTTCTCAAATCTTCGTGTACATATATTTACTCATGATGAATTATGTCCTCATATCTCCTTATTATCAATATTGAATAAATAAATTAACAGATGTATTGTACTGTGATCGGTCCGGATGCTACTTTGTATATGTATGTTTATTTTATGTGTCTATCCGGACGCTAATCTGTGCCAGAACAGAACAGAAACTAAAAAAAAGCTAATATTTACTAATGATATCGGACACTGATCAGACTCCCACCACTGTTAAGTTGTAGCGTCACAGCAATTCAGGCCCATTTTTAACAAATCCAAAATCACTCAGGATAATTTTGTTTACTTTGTGATAATTTAGTGTTAATAATTTTAATGAATAAACATGAACGGTAAATACTCATTAACGAAGAGGACATCAATAAATTGAGTACGTACAAGTTATAGTTTATGTTATGGGTTTAACAAAATTAATTGAATTGAATTTTTGCCCACATGTTTCCAGGCAAAAAGGCAGGTATAATGGCAATAAGAAAGGCAATCGAATTGTAACCTGTGTGACTGCAACACGATTGGAAATAAAATTCATTAAATTTTGTTCTGTAACCACCAAGACATCTCTAAGTTTAGATAAAATTTCTTCCATGCTTTGTCTATGCATCTATCCTTCAAAGTTTGAGCAACAAGGATTTGTTTTGTTTTAATTTCTTCAAATATTGACCATTTTATACTTAATTATTTAGCATATTTTGTTTTTAACATTTTAGAATTGTTTTAGTTTGTTTGTTTGTTTGTTTGTATTTGTTTGTATTTACGCAATCTGTATTGTGTACGTTCCAAATTGATTATCCTATCCTATCATATCATATTTCAATGATTGAACAATAATTTCAATACATGCATGTACATTCACAACAATATATTTTCCTCTACAATAATGATGCATTTATAAAATCTCTGTAACTTTATACCAGAATTCTAATCGGCAATTTTCCAATATCAGGGGTTGCCAATGGGGAATATTGTATTTACGGAAAGTAATTTTGTATTTACATTTTCCCCCAAATATTTTTTATTCTGAAGTCATCTGCAAATGTTTCTCTTCTGGCAATTTATCTTCTTTAAAATGCTCAAGTGAATAGTTAGGAGTGTGCGTCTTTGCGTAAAAATCGCTACAATCAACGATGCGCTGAACAGGAATTCCACTTTTTTGTTATACCATTATCAAATTTTGGAGAGTTGATGACAAAAAATCAGCAATAATAACCATATAAAAATCTTTCATGTATGGTATACCTATATAAAGTGGTTTCATTAATTACACATTCGTCCCGTTTAACAGAATACATGCTAGGAGACCCATGTTGGTGTTTTAGTTGACAGTGGATGATCGAATGTAAATATTGGTCACTCTGACAACATTATTCTCAGTATGCCATGATGTCTACAGTTCTATTAGGTGTGTGTGATGAACCTTTATTAGATTCAATTACTACATGGAAGTGTAATAAAATTGGATCTTTTCCAGTAAGTAACCATAATTATTTGGCAGTGTATATTTGTGTGTGTGGTACAGTACCTACGTTGTGACAACTTTTAACTTTAAACTGACTTGTGACGACAGGGCCTACATTATGACGACCCTCACTATTTTCATAATTTAACGGGGCATATTAAAATTTAATTGAGTTTTAGTCAAGTTCGCGAAGCTTAGGTTTAGTAAAGGGGGAAGTATGGTACAATTTATATTAATATTAATATAATTGTACTATACCTACCCGCTTTACTAAACCTAAGCTTCGCAAACATTTCTATGTTCAGTCATGGGATATTTAACTTTCATTTAATTAAACTTCATTAAAACGCAATTCTACGTTGAATTGCATTATAATTGAGTTTAATAAAACTCCAAATAAAACTCCAAATAAAACTCCAATTAAAACGCAACCCAAATGTGTTGTCACAACGATGGGCGACATGAAAGTGTGTGTGTGTGTTTCTGGCATGGGGTGTCTACCTGCTAAATTCAACAACCCCCAAACCAATCAAGTTGTAGTGTGTGATCCATGTGGTACTTACACAAAGTAGTATTTTTTTTCTTAATAATTTATGGACAAAAGAATTCACATATTTGTATATTTTGTAACTGTTAGATATTAATGACAGTGGTGTTTCAAAGAAACAAACCATTGATCCCAGAGAGTATGGTAAAGCATATTTACTTTAATACTGGACAGATGAATATGAGTACATAAAAAAACGATGCATTACATTAGGAAATGAATGGTTTTATGGAGGTTTATAAAATATTTATAAAACACTCATTCAAATATGGGTTCTTACCCATAAGTCTTTGCAGGTTTCTTCAATCATTGGCCAATTTACTGCCATGCATCCATTAATGCATTTTGATCGGTCACGTTGTTTTCAATCGTCATTTTTTTATTTAATAATATTCATATGTTTTTGAAATTGTTTGTACAATTCCAAATATCTAATGTGTTTATTTCACAGGATTGGATGACTGCTGATGACATCATTCTTCCAAGATGTAAATTATGTAGCGAATGCCTCGTATTGTTGGTACAGATTTACTGTCCTGTGTCTATTCCCCACAGAACGCTGTACGTTTTCACATGTATCAGTAAATCATGTCAAAACAAACCAGAAAGGTAGGAGAGATGATTAATCTCAAAAATTTAAAATATAAAGTTCTTTCCTGAAAATGTGAACCATATAAAAATTCACCCTTACAACCAATCTTTGTTACTGAAAATACGTATGGAGGGTAGTATTGATAATCATGAACTATAGGTCTAAAGGTCATTAATACATATCCTGCCTGGATACGTCTTAACTTTTTCACCACCAGTTCCTTCTTTTCATCACAAATTCACAAAATAGTTCCGTTTATAGTCTGCACTTTCCTTCAGAAGATTGGGACAAAAATAACCAATTGTTTTGAGTAAAAACTAAAAATTGGCTCAAATTTGTCTATTGGCTCCAAAATTGGGGCTTATTTCCAGGAATATTGAGGAATAAAAGAAAAAAAAAGTGCAGACAAATTTGGTTGAGAAAGTCTGGTGGTGAAAAGATGAGCACACAGTGTTCATTGTGAATCCCATGGGATGTGTAGAATGTACATGAAGTACATTAACGACTATGGTGCTTCAACATCTTATGCTTATTACATGTACATATTTTAAATTAAACATGGTATATAGCGTTCTTGAAACGAGCGTATTGTGTTTTTTATATTGTAGCTGGTTGGTGTGGCGTTCACAGTGTTTCGATACAGAGAAACCAGTGGATGTGAAGAAAGAACAAATGGTAACCATGGCTACCAATGACTGGTGTGATGAAGCAGATGACTGGGGGGATGAGGATACCAGTTCTTGTCTCAGCATGGCAACTGATAGTGCTGGATTAAATCAGTCCTCTGTTGCCACAGCGATTAGCTCAGGAGTTGTAACAAAACCTGAAAAGTTGTCAGATATGCAACAACCACTAGAAGGTGCAGACATCACAGCTTCGAAATTAGAAAAACTAAATTTACGAGACAACCTCCCATGTTTTGTTGGTTTTTACATTGCCGTGTTTGAGGAAGAGGATGATGTGAATGAAGAGGAGGTTAACGATCATGAAAAACAATTAGTAACAGAGTATGAAGAAAGAGAAGGGATCAGTTTGTCTGATTTACAGACGTGTGCAGCCAGTACATGGTAAATATGTCATTTGCATTGACCTTAAAGGTCATGCATCCTTACACGTATGGGGGCCACAATTACAATACAGTTATGGATGCCATATTTGTGAGATATGTCATTGTCACAATATCTCATGCTTACAAATCATCATCAACAAAACTATCTGGGACTATCTGCATATGTTTCACAATCACGGAGAGAGACGGAAATGCAGTAATGAAAATTAAATACACACCATAGCAACAATATAGTGTTTGTTGTGCGGGTCCCATGCTCTGCATCCATTGCTTAGAAACTACTTCAGTTATTTATCCACAATGCAGACTAGCACTTTAATAATAATTACAAAATGAGGCAAAATTGTATTTGATCTGCACCTTTGATACTATTCCATGTACAACCATATTTACTCTATTAGTAGCATATCTGTTTATGTAAATGACAGAGGTTTGTCAGTGGCCAAACTAAGTTGTTTTTTTTGTGTGACTAATAGAGCAAATACAGTATGTTATCTGTTGTATAAATTCATGAGCCTAAAACTGTGTGACTTTTAAAAATAATCAGTGCATGTGAATTCAACTCACGATGGGGAAATATCATTTTGAATATTCTCAACAGATTTTGATTTTATTTCAGCTCAGCCAAAAGTGAAGGTAAAGAAAAGTATGAAAAAATAGTTGCCAAACATGGAGATAAAACTTTTCAAAAATATTTAAAAAGGATTTCTTTGTGTCCTGAGCAGTGTATTAGGTAAGACTTGTGTATAAATTAATCAATACTTCCTGAAAATTGAAGCTGGCTATCATATTCTTCTGATTTCTATGCAGGTTTGTGTTTTTGTTCCCTAATTTTTCCATATTTTGCACCTTTATCAGACTATTATTCTATGCCAAAGCATTTTCTTAAAAAACCCAGACATATTTGCGATAAGTGAGAGTTTGAATATCCTAGCCCAAATGCACTCGATTTGACAGCAGTATTGAATTAAAGCTTAAACTCAAGAAAAACACGAAAACAGTTAGTTTTGGATAATATCACATTTCACTGACTTCACTGTAACTCATAGTTGTATTTATATCTATAAAGCTAAAAGAAAATTTTTTTTTAACTCCAAATGTGCAGACTACTTTTTATTTTTATTCTGTAATTTATGAGTTTTCAGTACATTTTCTAAAGTTTGAAATTATTTCAAAGAAATGCTGTCACAAGCATGTTTTAAACTAAGAAATAAAGATCTGCAGCCAATGTGAAATTACGTTTATGTGGTCGCAAATAAACAAAGTATTTCATAAAAATATATATAAATGTGAGCAAAATGTCGAACAAACATTTATGCAGAAAAATTCAACAGAAGAGAAATGAATAACAGACTATCAAAATCTAATACGTTCATTGCAGCATTTTTAGCATCATGACGAATAATGTGCTAATAATTCCTCTAATTGTTTTTCAGATACCAGTGGAATGGAACGCCATTACTGATGACATCATCTTGGAGTGATAGTGACGTTCCAAAATGTCAATACTGTGGTGTTAATAGAATTTTTGAACTACAAATCATGCCTGCTATTATACCCATATTGAAATTACAACCATACCAAGGTAACTATAATAATTGTGGATACAAGGGGAGTAAGCGTTAGAATAAACCATTACAATGTAGGATAAAAGTT